GGAAACCTACATGCCAAATTTCGTTGAGATATCTCAATTTTTTCTCGAATTATCGTGCACACGGACGGACGGACAGACGGACAGAGAGACATGGCTTAATCGGCTTCTCTATTCATTCTGAGCATTTATGTATACATTTGTCTCTATCTATCTCGATTCGTTTTGGCTGTTACAAACAACCGTTATGTGAACAAAATTAATATACCCTTGTGCACAAGTGCGCTCGGGTATAAAAACGGGGAGGAAGAGAGTATTAAAATACCCACTTTAATTTTTACTTTGACCACCCTAATATACATACATGTGTATGTAAATCTTCCTAATGAATTCAATAACTATGTTAAGGTTCTTATCCTTATTACATTGTTATAATCAAGAACGCAAACTGGAAGAACAACTTGGTCGGTTCTGTTCAGCGATTCGAACCCTTCTTGCTAGTCAAAACTTTTTTGTCTTCGAACCGTGGTTTAGGTTAGGATCAACTGTTCGGGAATTAAAAACTATCTATGTATACGTGTTTTGAGATGGGGAAAGTTTGGGTACTGGCATATTACAGGATCATTTGTATGTTCTGAGGTATAAAACAAATGTGTCAATTACCAAATGCGAGAAAAAAGGCGTTCACTGATTTTCGCGTATTTTATAAAAATCGTGGATTTGCTTGTGAAACTGGTTGAGCGGTACTTATTTTATATTTGTGTGTGGAAAATATACTACTTTACTTCTTCCGAAGAAGAATCCTTGGTTGTGGAAAAATGTGCCACTTAACATTTCTTAATAAAAGGTAAACAAATGTATATGAGCAAATCTCACAAGTTGTTTTTTAGTGCCATTCCCTTCTCGGCAGAAAAAAAAACGAAAAAGCATTCTTGCACTTATTTCAATCAATGAAGTTCCAGAAATAGTTACAATAAAAATGAAATCAAGTATTTGATAAATTTGAGCCTTAAAACGTTTATTTAGGAGAAAAAGTAACGAAATTACTAATTTTTTCATAGTCTTTTGAAAATATCATAATTGTTTTTTTTTCAATAACTTTGGGATGTTTTTAAATAGATTCTTCATATTAGAGGCAATGGACGTTGGCATCAAATACAACATATCTGTGAAGTTTCAAGAGTTTACCATGAAATTAAAAAATATGACAGCACGCAGAATACTTGTCGCAGTTTTGCAGATTTTCAAATTTTACGATTTTCAATTGTAATAATTTTAGATAGTACAAAATGTTAAAATTAAACGGTTAAAATATTCTTCTTGCAAAAACGAACTAATCGAGTGTAATAAAACTAGTGTGTTACCAAATGAAAGCTTATTACATTGAGTAAGAGATGACTATAATATGAGAAACTAACATGCCAATTTTTATCGGCAAACTCGAAATTCATTCTAAAATTGTTGTATACATGAAGAAAGTAATATATATATATGTGCATATGGAATACTGTGTACAAATCTCCCACGCCGATATTTAATTACTTTTTAATAATATGAATTTTAAATTAAGGCGTGCGAGTAAACGTGTTAGATGACTGCGTATGGTGCTACGGGGCGTATACGTTACATACTCAACAACGGGTATGTGAGCACGAGTGGTTGTTTTTTTTTCGAGTACCGCAGACGATGGAATGATCAGCTGTAAGAGCTTCACAACGACATGGACATAGTGCAGCGAATTAAAATACAGCGGCTCCGCTGGCTTGGTCATGTCGTTCGAATGGACACCGACGCTCCAGCTTTGAAAGTATTCAACTCGGAACCCGCTGGTGGCAGCAGAGGAAGAGGAAAGTCCCCACTGTGATGGAAAGACCAGGTGGAGAAGGACTTCGCTTCACTTGGCATTTCCAATTGGCGTCAGTTGGCACAGAAAAGAAACGACTGGCGTGCTTTGTTGAACTTGGCCAAAATCGCTTAGACGGTTTCGCGCCAAATAAGAAGGTTGTCTTTTACTTTTTTAGTATATATTTTTTAAATTTTCATTTAAATAAAACTTCGCGTTGAAATCTTGTTCTTTTTTCAAAACTGAAGATAATGCATTTTCTAAGATAGGCGTAATACCACGTTTTTGTCGTAAAAGGTGACAACTCGTGAGATTTGCTCATTCATATGCCATTGTGTAATTTTTGTGATTGTGTATTTGGGTATGTGTAAAAATTTGCTCACCTCTAAAAATATTTTGAAGAGCGTTAGTAAAAAAGTAGCTCCTGCGCGAAATAACTTTAATCATCACTTCCCACCTTAATATTTTTATTTCATACAATATTATTTACTTCGTCAGGACCACAATAAGTCGTGCAGTAGGCCTACCGGGAAACCACGTTGAAAAACCCGCTAAATACACTACCCTACAAGTAGAGTGGAAATTGTTCATACTATGGGGAATACAATTTTTTGAATCGTTGTATCGCAGAAATGGTAGTTTTTTAAGATTTGTCTTACCTGTTTTTAAGATAAACCTTACCGCTTTGTGAAAAATGGTAAAACATATAGATCTGGGTTCGATTAGCATTTTTCACATTTTCGTTTCGTTCACATTTCGTTTTCGTAACATTCGCACTAATTTTCAGCTTTATGCGAATTATTGCAACCTTGATAATCTACTTGACCCGGCTAATAGGAAACAATTTTAAATATGTGGTTTAAATAAAGTAGCTATTAAAAAATATTAGTTACGCGGGTTAAAGTATACCTCAATTAGGTTAAAAGGTGACAATTTATGGCAAAAAAAATTGTGCCACGATTTTGAAAATTACATTTTTTTAAATTGAAAAATCATCATCTCAAAAGATTTTACCATATACATATGTTGAAGTGTTATTTTTATTCAGTAACAATCAGAAAAAATATATGTAAATAATTTATGTCATACGCTATCCGTATCTGGCAAAAAAATGGTATAATGGTAAACAAACATGGTATTAGCAAATTTAACAAAAAGAAATGAAATGGAGAAAATTTTGGTATTAAATATTGATCGAAACGAACATTAATTAACCTTTATAGAAAGTGGTTAGGTCTTCGATTTGCATCAAACACTTATAGAAGATTCCGGTTAAACAGGCTAAATTCTCTGGTTGCAATTTTGTCACAACAAAAATCTCCGCGTTTTTCCAAATTTATTTCACTTTTGTAATAATATTTAATAACAACACTGTAAGAACGCCTAGAACGACACAAAAAATCAACGAGACACGTAAATTTAATTTTAGGTCTTAGATTTCGGATCTATATGCCGTTTTACTAGATCAGGTCATTTCCCCAAGATATGTTAATTTTAAGTTTGCACTGCGAATGAAAAAGAATTAAAACTTTACAAGGGAGAGATTTGAAAATAGCATACTCGTACGTGGCGTATGAGTAACATTCTTTCCTCCTGATATTTCAAAAAAAAATTACTATGATTTTCATTTGACCATTCACAACTTTTTTATTTATACATACTTCGATTTTCGTCGTAAGTAGCTTGATTAATTTTTATTTTTTGTAAAAGGATATGCTCTAATACAAATATAAAAAGTTGCCCCAAAATCTGCTATTTTTTCCGTTTCTACGGTTTTACGCCGACTCCGAACGGCGATTATATTTTTTTGAGAAGCTGTTTTTCACGGCAGAAATACAATCGGTGGTTTGCCATTGCATATGGAGGGACGACCACTATTAGAAAAAGGTTTTCCTCCTAGGTCCTGCGGAATGGTAGTGCGCACTTCTAACCACTACACCACAGCGCCCGCCGTAATAATTATTAATATCCTAAAAATCAAAATCCATAAACATATGTAAGTTCAGTGCATAAAGTTACTTCACTTTGCTCGGCTATGCTCGGCCTGCAATAAAAATTGTATCATTACGTACATACGTAGCTAAGCGAGGCAAAGAAGTAAAGTTGAGATCGCAGCTAACTATGAGGCATTCGTGCACAATATCGCAGCTGAGGGCATAGAGTTGGAGTTGGCTTGCGGGTAAATTTCGTCATGGAGCGTGTGAAATTATATTTAAGATATTTCTAAATACTACGTATGTACGAGCCAAGTGACGCGCGTTTCGCATAATTTTACCAAATTCACCAAAATTACATGCTATTGCAAATACTCAACGTGATCTACTGCCCAGCCGAAATGGAATAGGAAGTCACTAATGTTGAGTAATTTCACTCCATACTTCAACGAGGTTTGTGCGAACAGATCGGTGAATTTGAATGGATAAGTAAAGAAAACATGTATAATCAAATTGGACTGAAACAGAGTGGATTACATTGAATGGCAGTGGAATGAAATATAATTACATTATACCGACTTTTCGATATGTTACCGGCCAAACCAAACATAAAAAACATAAATAATTTCTTTTAAGTTATTTTCGTTTAATGTAAATGAGTTATAACATAAGATTACATAAACATATTTCTCAGTGCATTTAAACCTTCGTAATCTACTCGTATGTACCATTAATTAGAACGCACCACAAAATTGGCATTTACATATGCAAAATACATATCGTGTAATAGCGCTATAAGTATGCTCATATGTACATAAGTCAAAATTATCTCGTTATTTAGAAGATTAGAGTTTGGATTGTTCGAACTTACACTAAATTGAGATCCTATTTGCTGAACTGGTGTATTGACTTCAAAGGGACTTACCTAAAAATAAAGAAGAAAGAGAGACAGTTATGAAGTGAGTTTATAAAAATATTTTTAAGAAGTGCGAAATAATGAGAGATTTTTTCCACACTATATATATATGTACACATATACATAGCGTAAATTTGTAGCAACAGTGTCATAATCTAAAATAGTACAAAATCGAGTTAAGCATGCAGAAATTACCGCTACCTGTTCTTTTATGTTGTGTATTTCATAGCTATACCGATTACCAGTAGTTTACTAGAACAAAATCAAAATTGCTTATGCCTATTCCAGCAAATCGTATCTGCTACTGCATATTGTGACATACATATGAGTCGACTCATATCAAACCTGTCTAATACGGTTGAAAAACGGGCTCGATTATTTATTTGACCTACGCATTTTCCTCTTTAAAATGCGCATAAGCAGCCGAACAAATGCCCGAAATGTTTGGGAATTAACTTGCATCCGGGGAGTTTTCGATGACAACACTGGTAAAAACGGCCAGCTGTTGTCCTTTGTACAAGTAAGCAAACAAAACAGGTGAGTTTCGCGTCGCGGTAGCCGTAGCTGCCGGGTTCAATCCTCGGATGGAGCGATTGGAAAAAATTTGTTATTTTTATTATTTATTTTATATTTTTTTCATTTTATTTGATTTATATATTTAATTTTACTTTATTTTATTTGGCTATTTGTTAATTTAAATTTTTGCAGTTGAATTTTATCAAAACGTCAACAAATATTAACTGAAAGCAACGTAAAAAATATATAGAACTCATGAAAAAAGAATGGAAACGAAATAAATGAAAATTCTACTGGCCGTGGGACTCGAACCCACGACCTTGACCTTACAGCTCCTTTATCCGCATTACTGCCGTCTGTAAGGGTAAACTTATTAAGCGCATATGTGTGCCAGATTATATGCATAAGCTTTGCCGTCTGTTACAGCTTTAAGTCTACCAGAAGACAATTTGGGAAATTCGTGTTTAAAACTAACTTAGTCCATTTCGTATGTTTAAATTATGCTTAAGTACAACGTAATGACTGCTTTCTTTTAAATATGGCTTACCTTTCGATTGTTTTTTTCTTCGAAAAATACTTCAAAGATCTATTTTGTAAAAATTTTTCAGTTTTGAAACAGCTTCTTGGAATATACAGCAAGGAAAGAAATAACCACAATTTCCCAAAATTGCCATAGTGTGGATTTAGGTAGGTTTGATATGTATCGACTTATTATAACATTTTAACAAATATCATAACCGGCTATATTCAGAAAGCAGCCAACAGCACCCAGAGTTCCTTCTAAATACAACCCTAACTATTTACTTCTAGTTAATAGAAAACAGCTGAACTGATATAAGGCCATCAGGCTCAATATTTTGTCTTAAATAATTTCACTATCGTTTTAAACATGAAGCTTGCCTGCCCATTTTAGAACTACCAATTTATTGCCCTACCCGGATTCGATTTGAATTTTCACAACAATAATCAACCGCACGTATACTTACTTCCAATGTACGTTTGTATTTAGAATTGACCGTCATCCGCAAGTGCAATGTGAGAAAAACAAAAATAACTGTAAAACTCAAAAAGCAAGGTACATAAATATTTCGTTCTAAAGGAGCTTTAACTTTCGCGGTTTGCTCATCAAATTCACCAATACTGCTGTTGTTTAACTAAAAACACACGAATACTAATTAGCTTAATTACTTTGGAAGACAAAGCACTTGAATATATGTTAAATATAAGATATAAAAATTAGCAGCGGCACCCGAAAGTGGGACGAAAGCGGCAACGGTAAAGAGCCTGTCAGACATGGCAATGCAATATATTTCGAAAAGGCTGTCAAATTGAGAAATTTCAGGAAGCAGATGCATGAGCAGTCACACCTTGCATGTAAAGTGTCTTTCGAAAGAGGTTTTTTATTTCCGAAAGGCGAATTGCAGATTGCTAGTGCAGCGCGAGCAAGTTGAAATATATTTCCGAAATCGATTTGCGCTCTCTCAATTACAGTCACATCTTGCAACATTTATTTCTGAAACTGATTTCCGAAATGTGGCAGTAAGGTCTTTCTGGCAGTTCACACATCGAAATAAAATTCCTATTTCTCAATTTGACAGCCAATTGCTTGGAAAAGTTGGAAATATTGGGCCGTATGAATAAAAATAAGCAATTGCTTTTTCTTAAAATTTCAGATCTTTTACTCAATTTATTCAAACAAAATTGAAGTAAAAGGTATGAAATTTTAAGAAAAAGCAATTGCTTAGTTTATATTCATACGGCCCATTGCCACGTCTGCCACGTTCTTAAGTCAATGAATTTGTATGGCGGGTAATTAATTAAAAAAAATAAATAATAAAAATAAACATTTAATGGATCGCAGTCAATTAATATATTTAAAAAGTGTTAAAAACAAAAACACTTGGCCACTGGTCAATGACATGGATGCAAAAAATGTGAATTAAAAAATATTGTAGAATTAATTTGTTTTTAGGTAAAACTGCTTTGCAGAACATAACCGGAATAAAAAGTATGCAAGTATTTGTAGCTAACATATTGCTGCGAAAAACTGTTGACGTCAACGATGTCAGACAGGCGTCCTATGCCACATAGTGCAACTCGTTCGCAGGCATACAGTAAAATCCAGTCATAGTCGCTAATAAAAACGAAAATCACTGCATAGGCTTTTAAAACGTTACAGGAACTGGAGATTGCATAAAAGTACTTTGATGATACACATATATATTAAGTTGGTATTAAATTCTAGGATACTGGGAATCGCAGACGTATGTTTCTATTCTTGACGCGGGCTTAGCTATGACAAGTCTCGAGAAAAAATATCTAGATAACTGTTATTGTCGCTGGTAGTGGTAACGTATTTGTGTTTACATTGGCATTGACATTGTTTTTGAGTGGCGGGCCAACATGTACAGGTGTATGTTTATTATCGTATGAACTAAATTCTGTTCTCAGAACCGCCCACACATCTATGCACGCAGTGGGCGCTGCCACCCACTATCAATTTACAAATTGCGTGTGCGTACTTGGTGAAATGGAAGTAATTCTTAATGTGGAATTCCCCGCCAACGCTTTCTATCCACAACAATCATGCAATGCAGCACAACACAGTGTAGGCATAGAAAAAGTAAAAAACTAAAGGTGGTGTGGGAATTGAGGGGAAAATGAGACGTTACATAGTATGTGGAAGTACGCGAAAGAAATTTCCAGATACGGATAAACATCGGTATACTTGTATGCATACGCAAACGTGCAGACGTGTATGCATGTACTTAAACATTTAACTAGTCAGCTGTTAACTCGATACGTACTTTTGTTAGTCATAAAAAGGCATTCACGCACGGTCTCGAACGCCCAAATGTAGGCTACACCCTATGTAGGAGGCACAAAACGAACGAAAAAAGGTGCAATATAAACTTTCCTTTGATATGTAGTCAAGAGCACCGGCGTCAAAGAAAACACCCCAGTGGGAAAATGGGAATGCATTATCTTTTTCTATCAAGAAAAGATTAACAACTACGGTTGAACAAAAAGATGCATCGCAATGTAAGCGAGCGGATGATGTGTAGTTTTGAAGCCGCAAACAAAACAAAAAGTTTGAAAACTAAGTCAAATATTTTTGTTTCACGTTATCTCAACAGCTGTCGTAGCCGAATGCGTGCGTGCTCGACTGCCGTGTTGTTGGTCACGGGTTCAAAACCTGTGGCATGGACTTTATTTATTTTTGAATTCTATATATAGATTCACACATTACTTTCGTATGACATCGCTGTGAAGAAATTCTTGCATCTTTTCGTACCAAGGCTATAGGGGGCGATCCACTACTTTTTGCATTCCCAGACATTACCTTATCCCGCTGGGTATTTATGTATATATACTTATATTTACGTACGCGTGTATGTATGTGCATAAAGTAAACTGCGGCAGACGTTGAAACGGATAATTTGTTCAGATTTTGTTGTTTCTATCGTCAATCTTTCTACATATTCTGTTTGGTTGCTTGTTGCTGTTTTCGTACTCAGGTTTGGCATACACTTTTTGTTAGTCAATTCTGTAGGCATCCAGACAAGCTAGTCATTCATAAGACCCCTGCCACAGGCAGAAAGCTTGCTGTAAAGGACAGCCGTTGAAAGCTAGGACACAAGAAAGTGCGTGCGAACGTTCGAATTCAAGGACAATCAATGAAATGATCAAGGCTGAGTTATGGTGGCAGGCAAAACAGTCTGATGTGGTATTGCTATGGCGAATTTCGCATCGGTCGGCAGTTGCTCTTGCGTCTAAATAGAGTCATCAACTTCGTCTGCTGAATGTTTTCCTAAAAGTGAAATTACTATGAATGTACATATGTGCGTCGCAAATCAATGCGATAAGATGAATGGGGTAACCAACAAGGCCCTTTTTTGGCCTCAGAAAAGCATGTCTGGCAAAAGTATTTTACTCCCAGTTATGATATTTCACTGTTAACGCGCATGTACAGTTATGCCGAGACAAGTTCATTTCAGTTCTGGCCGAGTAGTTAATATAATAGGGCAATAGGCGACGATGTCTGAGCGACTGATGTGTTGTGGAATTTCACATGACCTCTCCGCCAACTGAGATAGCTTTTAGTTATCGCATTTTTGGTGGGATCGGTTAGGTGCGTAGCGTAATTTAGCATTAAGTAAGGTAAAAAACTGAAGAAAAGGCAAAATATTGAGACCGAATTTAACAATACATAGGTGTTATTTATGTATATGAAATGGGTTTGGTATTTTTAGAGATTCGTTTATTGACCTATTAATAAAAAATTAAAAACTTTTTCAACACAAAACGTAACTTGAAGAAGGCAATTGAAAAAAAAACAGCAGCAGTAGCTACATGTGTATGTGTTTTTAGCCGGTGCCGTGACCCTGGCGTTCAAGCAAACAGCGATGAAACATTGAAAAGGTTGAATAACCCAAACGGCAGTAGGGCTACCTACTGCCTATTTAATTCGATTTTGGTTAGATTAGTGCAGTATGGGTCAGGGTCAGAACTTTACTACGGTTTTAGAGAAAATTTTAAATTTACTATGCTACTCCGCTTTACCTTCGTTCTACTACGATTTTCTTATTAAAATAATGAAGTGCGCTTATTCCTGTAGCTGAACTCAAAAAACTCAAGAAATATGTATGTATAATTGGTTGTGTTTTTAACTTTTACATACGCATTTACTTTTAATAAAAATATGAAATGATAAATTCAGATAATTTTTAAGTTATGGTATAAATGGTATGCGAACTTGTATTTATATATTTAGTATATCCCTTCATGATTTATCCTCGATTATAAAAGTTGAAACGTAATTTTTAAGATCTTTTTGCCACTCATATGCTAAAGTATAGGCATGCACAACACTTCTTTCAAACAGTAGAAGATAACGCTATCATTTGGAGTAGGCCCTGTCATCGCCTCTTGCGCTAAGCAGGATATCGACAGCAGAGCGCCATTGAGAATACGTATTATTTGTGAACGTAAAATTGTCAAAAAGGAATGAAAATAACGAATATATGCTTACGTCAAGTAAATGGCGAACGTCTAGACAGTTAGTGAAGGTTATTGTGCCAGGGCAAATGAACCGAGCGTATGGCATACGAGCCATTGAAGTTTCGGGGCAACGAACGATTGCACGCAATTACATACAAATAATGAGCTGACGGTTGGAGAGATTTGTGCGTAAGTAGGATATGGGTAACGCTATTTTTTAATGCTACATCATGTAGCGTGTGCTAAAAATCGATGTGGGTAATCGGCCTACTTGTGACCTCAACCCTTTCGCGGGCAGGTTTTCTTATTTTATTGTGTGCAGCTATGGTTGCCGTATAAACTTTTCGTTTGTACCATAGCTTTCCTTTAAACATTGATACAAATGCATCAAGCTAAAATGTTTTTGGGCGAATTTGTTAGTTTTATGCTGGTTGATTTTTGAAATGCAAATGGGATATTTTACCACGCTTTTATCATTTCAGAATCTTGCTTGTCGAGACTTACTCCCAGTTCCATGCACTTGACAAATTGTCAAGCTTGACTATTTGTCAATAAATTTGCGCCTAAACTATACTGCAAAAATTTTATTTTAGTTACTTTAAAAATGCACAACAAATTTAGCAAATCTTAGCGGTATAGTTTTAGGCGCAGATTTATTGACAAATAGTCAAGGTTGATTACTGTCAAGTTCACCGAATTTGGGGGATAGAATATGGGTGTTTCCAGCGGAAGGTCCACCACGACAAAAAAAAATAAAAGTTTTATATCTAACGTATTTACGGGCCGATTTGTCTGCTTTTTAAAATATATACTGGCTATGTAAGTAGAATCATCTTTGCATAAAATGGTCTTCCTAGGTGGTGCCAAGGTCGAGATATTTCGAAAAACCGTATTTATGGTGTGATTTGGTTCGAATTTGGCGTATGTGGTTGAAACATAATAAATCATAGATTTCTAATAAATTTACCCTGAATTGGCGCTGAAGTCAAAATATAAAGTATATTCTACATAAAATACATGT